TTACTCTTATTGTTTTCCGTATGTTTGAAAGAACCCATCATAATGGTAAGCAATGTTTTCATAAAGTGTTTTCCCAATGAACTTCCAGCTCTGGAACCATTTCAAGTGACAAAAAAGTTGTGAAACTAGTACAAAGAAGTCCTGTGCCCCCTCACCCAGCTTTCCCAGATGTAACCATGTTTCATGGCCACAGCGCAGTGATCAAAACCGAGGAATTAACTCATAAGCGATACTACTAATGTGTCACCAGTGTCCCACTCATGCCCTGCTTCTGGCCCAGGGTCGCAGTCCATTGCATGTAGTCGCCATGTCTCCAGTCTTCATCCCCTAACACTTCTGGAGTCAACGTGAAACAGTTAAACCACTAAGTTTAAGACAATCTCCCCAAACAGTTTTAGTAATTGACAGTTTTACTCAAGGCGGCTCTTCAGATAGTTGCCAGCACCCCGGGGAGGAGCCCTGATGGGTTCTAATCCCAGACAAGTTCGTCACCTGAGCAAGTCCCCAGCCGGGCACGAGACGACAGAAGAGTGGCTCAGCCGGCCCAGGACGCTACTTCCCCCGGGTTTCAGACAGGCCGGGATTTTAAATCTAAGGTCTCCTGGGCCTCTAACCTCAGTGCCACGCCCCTAGATGCCCAGGCACCTCACCCCACTCGCAGGACGTGTCCTGTGCTATGTGCCACGCGGCCTCCTGGACCGGAGGAGACAGGAGCTCACCCCCAGCCTGTCTGAGAACCGTCCGGGCTGCCAGGACTGTCCGTCCTGGAGCTGCCCGGGGGTCCAGCCTCCAGGGACCAGAATCCCAGGGCCAGGGGCCCGCCCTGCAGCGTCCCAGGCTGGGAAGCACCCTCCCCACGGCCCACGGCAGGGAGCTGTGGTGCCACACTGCCACCTAGTGCTGCAGATGACCTGCAACAGCTCCGTCCCTGCCTCCGCCGCAGGGATTGTAACTGATAACGGGGCGCAGGTCAAGCTGGGAGAAGCCACACGCCAAGATTTACTCGGCTTCCTCTGACCGCACAGTCACAAGCCAATGTGACTATTGGGAAGAGGCACTGGGGTCAAGGGGACCAGGAGAGAACCCCTCCTCTGTTCTCATTCACCCTGACTTGTTCGGGCTCTGGACGTCCCTGAACCTTATTTTCTTCATATTAAAATAGCTACAGGCCCTGGCCGGGCAGCTCAGTGGGTTACAGTGACGTCAAGGTTGCCAGTTCCATCCCTGGTCAGGGCACACACAAGAATCAACCAATGAATGCATCAATAAGTGGGACAAATCGACGTTTCTCTCTCCCTCTCTCTCAAATCAATCAACTAACAAACAAATTAAAAAATAGCTACATTTAAGGTTGTACCTGAGTGAGTCCTGGGTTCATAATTAGCCCCCAGTAAACACACATCCCCTCTCATGCTCTTCTCTAACCCCTGTGCACAGAGAATTTCCATGACAACCTAGAGCCATCCAGATGGAAGGCGTGGTTCATGAGAGGATAACATTTATCCAGAAAGTCAGACAAGCTGTAAAACCAGAGGCCACGCTGCAGTGTTTAGAGCAGGGGCTCTGGCAGTGGACTGGCTGCCTTGTTCTGAATACCAGCTCTGGCAGCTGCTGGGTTTTCCATCTGTAAAACAGAAACAGTAATAAAGATATCTAACCCTAGGGCTGTCCTGATTAGGTAAATACTGCAAGCACTTAGAGTGATCTGCTAATCAATAACAGTTTTCTTAAAGATGCTGACCCAAATAAGGGGGTACGCTCCCAGACAGCATTTACTTAATTTATAAAATGTTATATTTTTTCAGTTTTTAAATTGTATTCATTATAGAGAGAGAGAGAGACATCAATTTGTTGTTCCACTTATTTATGCACTCGCTGGCTGTTTCTTACATGTGCCCTGACTGGGAATTGAACCCAAAACTGTGATTTATGGGGATGAAGCTCTAACCAACTGGGCTACCAGGCCAGGGCCAATGTTATATTTCTTGTCCTTTTGAATGTTGCTCCTCCATCCCTTGTGTTTCCCCTAAATCTGCACACCACACACTATCTTGAGACATTTAGTGAGTCTGGTGCCTCTAGACTGGCAGCCTCCTGGGCCATCACCAAGACCAGCCAGGCCTGGCAGCCTCTCTGAGCATCATAAACAGCTCAGCGCCCAGAGGTGCCTGTTCCATGAAGTGGTCCTTGGACTCCAGCGACGCTTCTTACCTTCAAGTCTGCTCTGGATACTAAATACACAAGCTCCCGTGGGTGAAGACTCACAAGAGAAGTCCTTCTCCATCTCTTCGCGTTCAGCCTTCCCACATCACTCTGCAGTCGGCCCTCCTATCGCGGGTTCCCCATCCACCCATCCACAGGTTTCACAGCCGCAGGTTCCACATCCACAGGTTCCAAACGTGGCATTTTCCCTCCTAATTTGAAAAGCCAAGTTTCCACAGTGATGCGGGCGTCGGAGCCAGAGAAACTATTTACAATAATGAAGGGTGATGGCATCAAACCACCCACCACACTATGAGATGTCCCCATTCTCCAGCCCTCAGGGGCCCCCTTTTCTTTTACCCACCTCGTGATCTGGCCCTCTCACCACTGCTGCTCGGCCCTAGAAAGTCTAGTCTTTATTGTGAAGTGTAAGGGGTGCAGTCCTGGGAAAGGTTTCTATCGCACGAACCCATCCTGGTGTTGGCCCAGGGACCAGTGTCTGGACTTCTGTGACTCTCTTCTGCCACCTGGAAACCAACTCCAGCCACCTCTGCCCTCCAGGCACCATCTGGCCCCGGTATGGACATAACTTCTCCCTTGTTTTGACAAAAAAATTACTGAAAGTGAAGCTAATATGAGGGAATTAGCAATGTAGGGAAAATAATTAAAATCAGTAACACATTCCAGAGTCCTTAGAACCCTCAGCCGCACCCTTCACAGGGGATCTATCACTAGCATGTTCCTCTCCTTAGGCCCCAACCCGTCGTTTGGATGCCAGACACCTGCTCCTCCAGATGGGTCTGTCCCCCAGTGCTGCTTCCCTCTATGACTTCTGTGGCTCCCATTCTCGTCTCCAACGCCCAACAGAAGAGGCTACTCTCGTAATTATCTCTGCATCCTCATTCTCCCCACCTGCTGTTTTAGGATCTGACCCATGGAGTGTTTCTTCCAGCTTTGATGGTTTATTTATTTAGCTCCCAGGTTAAAATCCAAATCCTCCCTCTGGGTGCTATGACTGCACCAGATCTGAGACAAGCCATCCCTAACCATGGACCCAAACCCAGTACAAATGTTTGTACAGAGCTGCTCACCCTGCTGAATATCAGTTCGAATTTTTTCCTATTATAAACAATACAGTGAATATCCTAAAAGCTAAATCTCACACATGTGCTACCCTTTCAAACTTTTGCTGATTCAAAGAGTGCATTCACTCACTCACTCATTTGGTATTGCACTAACTACTGGGCACTCCTCTAGGTCTGAAAATACAGTAATGAGCATAAACACACTCCCCAACCTCTCAGCCCTCCTATCCTGGGGGAGAGACAACGAAAACAACTTAAACTGCAACAACGTTAAATGCAGAGTAATGCTTCCAAGGAAAAGCTTCCCCAAGAGACTGGCCGTGAACTGAGATCTGATAAATGACTAAGTGTGAGTTCTAAGCAAAAAGAACAGCAATTTAAAGTCCTGGGGCTGGAAGGAGAGCCGGAGCTGGGAGAGCAGCCTGGCTGAAGCGAGTGTATTAGGGAGAGCGCAGAGAGGGTGCAAGGGCCCGACCTCTCAGGACTTCGTAAGCCATGTTAAGAAGTCTCATCTTTACTCCAGGAACAAGATGACACTGAATGTGCAATGTGAAAATCTGACACTTACTGCATGGGCTACATACTATCTTACATTCCCCTATAGCTTCACCAGCACTGAGTGAATTTGATGGTTTTAACGTGTACACGTTACTTTTTTTCATGTTTACTGCCCATGCTTGTATCTTTTATGTACTTAATGTTTGTGACCTCCCCTGCCCCCCCAAATCCTAACCCCCAATGTGGTAGTATTAGGAGGTGAGGTCTTTGAGAGGTAATCAGGGCCGGAGGGTGGAGCCCTCGTGAACAGGATTAGTGCCCTTGCAAGAGACAGGAGACCTTGCTTCAGCTCTACACAGACCAGGAAGTGGGCCTCACCAGACACCAAATCTGCCAGCGCCTTGATCCTGGGCTTCCCAGCCTCCAGAACTATGGGAAATAAATGTTGACTGTTTAAGTCACCCAATCTGCAGTAACTTGTTGCAGCAGCCCAAGCTGACCGAGAGAGTATGCTCATCCATTTCCTACCGGGGTACTATTGGTTTTTTTACTTAATTACCTATTACCTTTTCTTTCATCTTCTTTTCCAAATTGTTTGGCGTTTAATTATATATGTCAAAATGTTACATAGATAGCAACCTTTTTTAGGGATAATGGTATTTTCTCACCCTGATATTATATAGGTAGTCATTTATATTTTCTATTAGTATTTCTATGGTTCAACTGCTCATATTCAATCATGATGCCTTGACACCTATGAAAAGAAATCTAATTTTACTTTTCAAAGGGTAAACCAGATATCTCTTGAAATGTCACCATTATCATTGTAAGTAAACAACCTAGAGAATAACTCATGGATGTCTTCTTAGTCTTCTATTTTTCTCTGTTGTAACTGTGTGATACATTTCATGTAAGATAATGTTTGTCTATGGTAAGTCTTCCCATCCTCATTTGTTCAATTTTAATCAGCTTCCCTGCAGGAAACTTACTCCTTTCGTATGACATACTGAATTGGCTTACACAGGAATTTTTTTTTAAAAAAACCTATTGAGGTTTCACACCACCTGAGAGCTAGATCTCCATCTGGAATGGAACAAGGTGAAAAAGGCCTTGAAGACTTCAGCAACCTTTCCCAACTACTACTTACATTTATATAGATTTCTGCACATAATGCATACATTACTGAAGAGTTTAAACAAATATCCCATAAGACAGTTTACCATAATTGACCTTTTATTTAAAAAAATTACAGGGAATTATTTCCAGCATATCTTATTTTATAAAAGTACTGCTTATATCAAACATTTTATATCACTATTAATTCCATTGAAGAGCTGCCTTTTTTTAAGTTACGAATTCCAATCAATGGGATACTTGCCCTTAAAATAGAAAGTTCCCATTATCTATTCAAATGTCAAAATTAAGATTATTGAGAAGTTTATTGCTTTATGCTGGGCAAGATGCTACTAGCACATTTTAGGTAAATAATAATCTTTTTTAAAACTATGAGGTCATTCTGTTTAAAACTTTTAGGATAATTCACAGAAAATAGATAATATTTATTCAAATTACACATTAAAGGGCTGGGCTATTATAGACACATGTGAAGCAGCTCTTTAAAGAAATAAGATGGACATATAGGTCTGCCTGGTATAATACACATAGTTGAAATTAATAAAACCTGGAAGACCAATGTTGTTAAGCTATGTTCTGTTAGGATCTTTTATATATATAAAAAAAAAAAAATCACACATTTAGTAGTCCATTTGTGCTTAAACTATTCGTATGCATGAGAAGCTTAAAGAAAAAAAAACACCTCTGTACATGATGGTGAAAAGAAAGTAATAATTCTTTTGAAATTGCACTGTTATTTAAGTCACGGTCCTAAAGCCAGACCCTCCCTGCAGCTGGCAGTTTTCCAGATCTAATTGGCAACCTGGGGAGGCCCCTCCGGTATCAGTGAAGTGAAGAAGCTGGTGATGAAAGACCACGCTGCTGCCACCAGTCCCGGCCTCTGGAGCGCACCCGCATCTTCCCCTGCATCTTCTCCACTCTCATCCTCAAGCCCATCATCCATGAGACGCTCCTTTCAAACAAAACAAGAAATACTCCTAAGTGATTAAGCAGCCAGCAAGCACTTAGGCCAGAAGAGGAGAGTTCAGGACTTCCCTGTAAGAAGGAACACGATAATGAAACGTCAAAGAGGCACCTAGCTGGTCTGTGGGAATCTCTGGGAAACCTCAGCTGACGATTCCGTGGTGTTTGCGTTCAAGGGTAACCGCCTATGTAATGCAATAAATTCCCCTCTGTGCATCGTCCTCTCTGTAGCTGTGAAGGAACATGAGTTCTTCCAACAAAGTCTAACACATGACCAAGTTCTCCCAGATGGCACCACGCAGTGTATGGATAGCCTTCTGCACGTGTTGTTCCACGAATACTCATGGACACCCCGAGGCTCTTTCACCACGCTGGCCCTCCCTAGACAATGCTGAGGACACACCTACATTGAAAGTACACAAAACCTCATTAGCGTACCATTTCTTCAAGTTCTAGGTTGTTTGCATTCTGCCCGTCATTCACGTCAGCATTATTGTTGGGAGCCTGCTGCTGGCCGCCTTCTTGCCGAAAAGGAAACCACCCAGCTTGGTGTCTGTTTGGTAAAATGAAAAGAAAATAAGCCACAACTGATTTTATTTGTGAAATTATGAAATATTAGTGTCCTACAAGAGAAAGATGACTAGAACAATATTAAATGAAAGGACCATGTCGCCCACTGTAGGCTTAGAACTGTCCCTCTCAAAGCAATGACAGCAAACAGAAATCAATTTCAGTCAAAAAGTCTATCAGGGGCTTAACTGGCTCTCTGCTAGGCATGAGAACATGGCAGGAGTCATAAAATCTTTTTTGCTATTTTTCAAAATGAAATTCAACTAGATAATTTGTTTGCTTCTTGGGGAACCAGGGGCCCAGGCAAAGTTATGAAGAAAAAAGCCTGACTTGTGCCTACAGGACTTACTATGGATGACCATAATTAAAAAGAACATCCTTGTACAAGAATGAATTATATACTTCCTCAAGTTCTAAATAATTGATGGAGCACATTTAGTTAAATTAACAATTTTTATAAATGACAATAAAGGGAAAATTTGCTTCTAGACAATTCTGATAAATGTTCTCACTAACATAACCTGGTTTGCTTCTGATGCCAGACCTATGAAATGCAACATTCACAGTCCCTCACCCAACATTCATGAGACATGACCATGTGTCATGTGCTGCACTGACACGGTTTCAAAGTCATTAAAAGGAACCACAGAAAAGTAATGAACGTGACTCACAAATAAACCAGCAGCATGGCTCCCATGACCATGACAAAGCGGCTGAAAGAGGAGTAGAAGTACACGATGCTGAGGAGGATGGCCGCGCGGGAGAAGGTGTACATCCAGTCCAGCCAGTCACGATTGAAGTCGTCTTCATTCAGCACCGGGCCCCCCTGCGCGTTCATCTGCACATTCTCATTCAGGGGTCGGTTTTCTTGGGCCACCAGGTTGGGGGCTGGTGGGGGTTCTTCTCCAGGAACGTGTGCCAAATTCAGAGGCTGTGGAGGCGCAGGCTGGGTGGGGGTGGCATTTGATGTGGCCTGAGCTGAAACTGCAGCTTGACTAGAAGAGTCACCAAAATAAATATCAAAAAGGGAAGACCTTTATCACACTATATGATTATTTTTCAAAACTTCCTGGGTAAGCCCTATGTACTTTTCATAAACCTGATATGGACTATTGCTGCCCCTGCCCGTTTCTTAGGTGAGCACAAATCTCAGTGGAAAGTGGAACCAAGACTGTGGCAGGTGTGGCTCAGGGAGAGATGCTCTCGGCCTGGCCGTGGAACATGGAGGGGAAGCGGGGTAAGAACAGCTGTGTGAATCACTGTTTTCTCCCCTTCACTAAATTTTTTTTTTTTTTTAAATATATCTTTATTGATTTCAGAGAAAGAGGAAAGCAGAGGGAGAGAGATAGAAACATCAATGATGAGAGAGTCATTGATCAAGCCCACAACCCGGGCATGTGCCCTGACCAGGAATCGAACCCTGATCGCCTGGATCCTAGGTCGACGCTCAACCACTGAGCCATGCCCGGCCGGACCCTCACTAAATATTTTAAGGTAATGTCCAGATCTCTTTCCACTAATGGCCCCTTCTGTCATTCTACAGGGAATGAATACCCCACACCCACCACCTCCCCCTCAGACCCAGGTTTCCAAAGATTTTTCTAAAAAGTACATCAGTCATTACCCTGTGTACCCACTGCCAGTGAGAAACGGTTTGTATTAGCATTCTGAGATAGTAACTAGATTCCAGATAACCACCCCTCAGCCCCAACCCTGACTTTTGGGAACTCCGCCTGGGGACCACTGGTAGAGACCCTTTGTCAACTTATAAAGAATTATGGTCCTGAAGTTTAATCAAAAAATGATATATCTGGAATTTAAATTATGCAGTATAGGAGAAAGTTATAAAACAACACTGCCATGACTGATAAACACTGAAACTGGGTGATAAGTACAGTGTTCATTTTACTACTCTTTTTATATGTTGAAATTTTTCTACAATCAAAAATTTAAAAATCAAGATACCAAAATAAAATGAAACAGAAGTTTCCTAGGCTACAAAAGCCTTTTTTAGCCTGTACGCTAAGACCTTGTATCTGTTTAGGGCTTTTTAGTTCCAAAACTTTTGCTACCTCAGAGATACTCTGAATTCATAGATGAGTTATTCATAAAATGTGAGAACTTGAGGCTCAAAAGTTGAATGATATACACAAATTATATGATTTAAAAGTGAGCTAGGATAAAAGCTCCACTTATCTTACACAGTCCTTGTCAGAGTATGAATGACACAAGGGTGTAAGCATCTAGTAGGGTACTAAGCACAAAGCAGTTCCTCAAATGGTAACTATTACCATGGCAACAGGTAAGGCATGAACAGCCTGCCTGGGGTCATGCAAGAGAACATGGGAATACAAGGTTCATAACGCACGTTAGCTTCATGGGAGAAGGTCTAGAGGAAGGACAGGTACAGACTTCACACTGCAGACAGGAGAGCCATCAATTTCTTGGGGGGATGGGGAATGACTGACTCGATTCTGTGTTGAGCAAGTTAACCTGGCAGATTGGATGAAATACAGTAAAGAGCCTATTAGGAGAAAGAGCCGTGACAATAAAGTGGGTCCACTGGAAGTAAGATACAGAGGAAGGACGGAAGCTAAAAACCACGTTAACTCATCTGGGTCATGTGTTGGGTTCAGGGATAAGAGAAGCAGAATTCAAGCTGAGTATGAGCTTGGAGGATGATTAAGAGACAGTGTCACCCGGCCGGGCATGGCTTAGTGGTTGAGCATGGACCTAGGATTCAGTAGATCAGGGTTCGATTCCCGGTCAGGGCACATGCCTGGGTTGCAGGCTCGATCCCCAGTTGGGGGCGCGCAGGAGGCAGCCAATCAATGACTTTCTCATCACTGATGTTTCTAGCTCACTCTCTCCCTCTCCTTTCCTCTCTCTGAAATCAATAAAGATATATTAAAAAAAAAAAAAAAGAGAGAGAGGGAGGCAGTGTCACTGACAGGAAGTCAGGAAGAAGGCACTTAAGAGCACAGTGGATCAAATTTTAGACACACTGAATTTAGGGAAGAGGCAAATTTCCCTACGTAGCTCTTCCAGCAATTGGGTGGAGATTCAGGATGAAGCACAGGAGATGAAGAACCAGGAGTCATCCACAGAGAGCTAACAATAAGGCCACGGAAGAAAGAAACCCAAGAGGATGGCTCCGGACTGAATCCTGTCTTGCCTACCAGACCGACTATCACAGGCATACGGTAGGTACACAAACACATCTAACTGAACGAGAAATGCTGCCATGTAGAGGACTATCACAGAACACAGAATGAGTGATCAGAAAGATCAAAAGAATGAAGATGAAAACAAAATCACAGAAACAGGCGAGGAGAAATTAAAGAGAAGCTGGAGTGTTAAATGAATGCACAGGAGTCCAGAAGAAGTACCATATAAATTTTTGGAATATTTGCTCTAGTTCTGTGAAATATACCATTGGTATCTTGATAGGAATTGTGTTGAATCTGTAGAATGCTTTGGGTAGTAAGGACCTATTAACAATGTTAATTCTTCCTATCCATGAACGTGGTATATGCTTCCACTTACTTGTATCTTCTTCAATTTCTTTCTTCAGTGTCTTATAATTTTCTGGGTACAGGTCTTTTCAATCCTTGGTTATANAAAACAATCCCATTTACAATTTCTTTCTTCAGTGTCTTATAATTTTCTGGGTACAGGTCTTTTCAATCCTTGGTTATATTCATTCCTAGGTATTTTATTCTTTTTTGAAGCAACTGTAAATGGGATTATTTTCTTAGTTTCCCTTGCTGATAGTTCACTACTGGTGTATAAAAATGCAACTGATTTCTGGAATATTTATTTTGTATCCTGTTATTTTACTGAGTTCTAGTAGTTTTTTGGTGGAATCTTTAGGGTTCTCTATTTAAAGTATCATGTCATCTGCAAATGATGACAGTTTTACTTCTTCCTTTCCAATTTGGATGCCTTTTATTTCTTCTTGTCTGATTGCTGTAGCAAGGACTGCCAGTACTATGTTGAATAAGGGTGGTGAAAGTAGACATCCCTGTCTTGTTCCTGATCTTAAGGGGAACACTTGTAGTTTTTGCCCATTGAGTATGATGCTGGCTATGGGTTTTGTCATATATGGTCTTTATTACACTGAGGTATGTTCCCTCTAATTCCACTTTACTGAGAGCTTTTATCATAAATGGGTGCTGGGCCCCGCCGGTGTGGCTCAGTGCTTGAGTGTCAACCTATGAACCAGAAGGTCGGGGTTCGATTCCCAATCAGGGCACATGCCCAGGTTGTGGGCTTGATCCCCAGTAGGGGGCATGCAGGAGGCAGCCAATCAATGACACTCTCTCATCATTGATGCTTCTCTCTCTCTGTCTCTCTCTCTGAAATCAACAAAGACATATTTTAAAAATAAATAAATGGGTGCTGGATTTGGTCAAATGCTTTTCTGCATCTATTGATAGATCATGTGGTTTTTTGTCCTTCATTTTATTTACATGGTGTATCGCATTCATGACGTGTAGATATTGTACCATCCTTGCATCCCCAGAATAAATTCGAGTTGATGATGGTGTATGATCCTTTTTAATGTATTGCTAGATTCAGTTTGCTAATATTTTATTGAAGATTTTAGCATCTATGTTCAGCAGGGAAATAGCCAATTGATTTTTTTAAAAAGTATCTGCTGAGATGTTGGTGAACCCCTCATAATAATTTTTAAAAGCTAGTGAAATACATCAGTAAATACAATCCCAAATCAAGTTACTTAGGATACAAACAGAAAATAAAGCAAATAACACAGTGAGTAACAAAAGGAACTGAAATTCCCTTACTATTGCATGTAATACTGGTGAGCGTACATCTGCTGCCACCACAGCACCTGCAGCGGGCTGAGCGCGGGGTACACTGGGAATCCGGCTGCAACAGCTTGCCCAGGAAGTTGGTTATCTACATTTCTGCCATAAAGAAATAAAGACATGTCTTTGAATGCTTTAGATGTTAAAAGCATTTCATTTCTGAACTACAAGTCATCCTACTGAATCAGAATGTGCATCTTAACAAGATCCCCAGATGATTAGCACAGACATTAAAAACTAATATAGCCCTCAATGATTCTGATGTATGAGCAGCTTTCAATAGCACTGCTCTCCTTAACCCTCTAGTTCTCAAAATATGTACTCAGGTACAGGAATAAATTCCAAATGCACTTTGGATTACTGCAGAGGGCTCCCATGACAGTGAGGAAAAATAGATTCTGAGGCAGCCACAGCTTCCAGGAATTCACTCACCCTTGCATTACGTACGGGAACTGGTGACTCTGTGCGGGGTCGGTCTGTGCTTGGGGAAGGGTACGCTGCCTCAGTCCTTCAGAGGAAGGACTGACAGCTAACGGCAAGGTTTCTTGACTGGATGATGGAGTTGATGATCCTGACTGATCTGAATTCTACAAACAGAAACGTAACTATTTTTTCAAGAAGATTTAATTCCTTACAATCATGAGATTATAAACATGTTGCTAAAAACGTACTTATGAAATCCCTCTGCAAAGAGTGAATTTTAGGAATTTACTAATTTGAATCTTGTGCCCGGCATAATAGGTAGATACTTTAATTCTGATGAGACTAAAGAGTTCAGAAAAATAAAAATTGCTTAACAGTTCATTTACCAACTAGAAAAGGCTAAGTAGTGGAGTAATTGTATACAAAAAAGAGCACAGAGAATTGAGAGGATTAAATTACATGCAAAGTTCTTTTCACGATGCCTAAACTTAGAACGTGCTCAATAATGGTACTAATTACTGTGTCATTTAAACAGTCACTATGTGGCAGGTACTGTATAACATGCTGTTAGTAACACACTGGTTTAAAATTATGAGGAATATGCTAGCAATCAGAAGATCTAGAATCTGGTATTATCTCTGACATTAACAAGGAACATCACCTTAAAATTTCACTTAACCTCTGAGTCTCAGCTTTCCTACAAAAAGCAAGATTGAACTAGATTTTTAAGATTCATTTCCATTCTGAACTTGTTTATAGATACCACCAACAAATATTGTTGTTTTTCTTAAATGAACAGGATAACAATCAGGATGTTTAAATTCTCATGCTCCAATGATGTCAGAAGCTCCCCAGACTCAACAACTTTAAACAATAAAATCCCTTGAAGATCACCCCACCTTGTTACTATCTGAAAATAGTTTATCAAGTGTCTTACGTAAATTTAAAACACAAGTATATTTTATATAAATTATAGTTCTTCAGCTTAAAAAACTTGGGTACAGTATAATGTGAACATCCAAGTTTGTTAAAATTGTGTTTTAGCTGCACTACCTTCCGACAGGATGTCTTTTTAGCATGTGTACCTTCCTACGTCCTGCCATGTAAAAGGTCCCAAGGACACTGGTCTTTTGCAAAACTAACAAAAGCTTTCTTTAGTATGTTACTCCACACAAAAGAGATACCAAACATCTTACTAGAGAGTCTGATACTCGGAAAGACTTCTTTTTTGGCAAGATTTCTCATTAAATGAACCATTAAAAGGTGGTTAATTAAAAATTAATAGAGGAAAGGTCTAGTCACTTGGCAGCCCAGCCTAATTTCTCTAGAACTAAGAATTTCTGACCTTCTTAGACAATACTTTCATGACTAGATTTTTAGGACATTTTCAAATCCCATTGAAATTTGTCATAAAACACTGAATGGAATTCAACTTTATTTGCCTTTGATACATTTCAGATTTCTATAATACACCTTGAAAAACTGAATACATATACTAAGGACAGGAAATCATGGCTGAGGAACCACTAGACAAGCCAGAGGCTTTTTTCTCAACAAGAAGTGGAGCAACACAACTGTGTCCCACGCCTACACACAGAGCTTCCTGCAGATGCCTACGCCGTCTCTTCCGGTGCAAGGTGGGAAACAGATCCAGGCCCGTGGTTTACTGACAAAACACAGTTCAGTTTAATGTAAGCTAAGTTCCCACAACTGGTACTAGAAAATACTTACCAATGAGGACATACTAATGAAATAGAGCAACTAGAGGATCTAGTTCTTAAAGAAGCAGTTAACTAGTATCTACTGGAAGATCCTCCACGCATCCCCTCCTTACACTTCGGCTTGACTCTTGCCGAGAAGGAAAGTATACTTAGCGGTATAGAAGTCCCTGCCCATGAAGTTTAGAGCAAGCCTTCCACTCAGCCAATTCTTTTCTCTCACCTTCAAAGGTGCCATATAAAGCTTTTATGGGAAACTAAAAATAATTTAAAGTAAAAGGATTTGGGACAGTGTCTAAAACTTGTAGAGGATGTCTAAGTTGAAAAGTTTAACTATTAAGAAAAATTTCCAGAACAATTTTAGGCAAATGAAAAAGGTGGGAGAAATGAATACTCAAGTCTGAAAGAGCTGAGTAGGTTAAATAATTTTTCCTCCTGCAGCTGAAATGCATGCCCAAATCCAGTCATTTTTTAAAAATAAAATTCTTGCCCCAGCCAGTGTGGCTCAGGAAGTTGGGTGTCATCCTGTGCACTGAAAGGTAGACAGTTTGATTCCGAGTCAGGGCACATGCCCAGATCCCCAGTAGGGGGTGTGCAGGAGGCAAACAGTCAATGTTTCTCTCTCTCCCCCCGCCCCTCTTTTTCTAAAAATATTTAAACATAAAAAATAAAAAAATAAAAAACCTGCCTAAGAGGATTTAGCATACTTAAAACTGAAATAACTTAATCCACTTTGAATAAAATATACTATATTCAACACTTTAAATATTTCTGAATCTTTAGTGGCCTTAGAGTTTATATTATATAACCATGTCATAATTCTGTTTTCTTATTATTTTAGTAATTAAACTCCTGAAGATTAGATCTATTACTGACCTGCATACAGAGGACAGGTTTCAACAGATAACACTGTATACTGGATTTCTAAAAACAAAGTTTAAATGCCTGACTCAGGCCATTCAAAACACAATTTCACAACCCACAAGCTCCAATTGTTCTGTGTGGTTTTTTTCCACTTAAGTTTTTAGAGACAAAAAGGATAATCAGTAAACGTCAACATTCACTCCTCCCAAACCACTCACAGAACTGTTGCTGGACACCGACGCTTCATGATCTTCTCTACTGGTGCTGGACTGTGGAGAACTGGGAGGAGTCCGGGAAGTACACACTAGATGAACCATATGATACTCATCCTGCTAAAATTGAAGAAGGTCACACTGAAAGGGCAGCACTGGGAATGCACAGTCAAAACGTCAGCAGCAGCGAAGCTGAAACACTTAACTCAAAACTTAAGTTCCTTTCTAGCACAGCCATTTATTAGTAAGAAATTGTTGTCATTTGAAGGTGAATTTGCCATTTTAGAATTTGGAGCCCTCATAAATTCTGTATTTTCTCCATGCTGGGAAAATGGTCTAAATACTCAGTAACTGCTGTATGAAAAGCGACTACTCTGTCTACAGAGGAGTCTGGAAGCACGCAGTGCTATAAAGCCGTGTCAATGCGCCCTACTATTTCAACATAAAAACAACCAGCGCCTCGATATCAGAACTGGAACAGTCGCTGAAGCTTAGACCTGCACACTTTGAGTCGTAAAAACATTTCCATTACTTAGACTCTGCAGCTATAATAAAGAAACTCAAATAATTTCACCATAATTTCATTTGCCTTCATTTTAGTGAGGATTCTAGTTTATTTTTTAGGTCAAACACTGGTTTTATCCACAATACTTATATTTAAATAGAACACAGATTTGAACCATATTTTGTAAAAAGTTCCTGTGTTTCCATAAACCCACAACTATGACTGAAGAAAAATATTCCAGTAATGATTCGGTTGACATTGTAGCTTCACGATTAAGTGAGTACTTACGCTGAGGCGCGAAGCGAGGAAGTAAGGTGCAGAAAGGAAAGAGAATTAGAGGGCAGAGAATACGGGACCGCTGAGTAACTTAGAGAAAGAAGAAACAGAGTATGATGAAGGAGGACAGGGAAGATGCCTAGTCGTGAGAAAGAGGACAAGGCGACCAGAAACAGAATTTGTCAACTGCCTGCCAAACCTAGAATTGTGCTTAATTCTGAGGTGAATCCCAGAACAGTGAGAACCAGCCCTTCCCCTAAAGAGGCTCATGACGCTGCTACAAGACCAGACTAGTGCATCAGAGCACAACTGGAGAAATATACAACACAGTCTTTTGCACAGAACTGAGAAGCACAACTACAGCTGCTCTAGTTTAAAGAAAGAAGTTAATGGGGTTAGGATGCTAAGAGGCACCTCCAGAGACAGTCTGACTTGAGATGTGCCTAGCAAGGCAGACAGGAGCACTCGTGATTCACACTGTACCCCCGCTGCTTCAGAACACAGAACAGTAAAAAGCACCCTGGTTTCAAAAGTCATATTAATTGAATTAACTCATAGTACTTGTTCACCTTTGGGGAATGTTTCTATAAAGCATTTTATAACAACAGGTAAAACTAATGGCAGCATTTAATTGAAAAAAGAAGGGGCCACACTGACTTTAACAAAAGCAGTTCAAAGATCTATTCAAAATGCAAACAAACTATTCAAAATGTTTTCTATCAGGGGCCAACAGTCCTTTGACTGAGCATTTTTATTTTAAGTCTTCTGGTCGGAAACCATTTCTGACAGCGAGAACCTTTTAAAAAGTATTCGTGTGTGAACTTGCCATCTTTGGGTTAAAATAATAAAATGAATTTCTATTTCAAAGAGTATATGGCAGCAATGTTTTTAAGCATAAAAACGGAGAAAAATGAACAGGTGAGGCACAGGATTTTTAGGGTAGTGAACTATTCTGTATGAGACTCTAATGGTGAACACATGTCATTATACATTTGTCCAAACCCACAGAATGTACAACACCAAGAGGGAAACCTAATGTAAACTATGGGCTTTGGGTGACAATGATGTGTCAATAATGTTGGTTCATCAACTGTAACCAATGTACCCCTCTAATATGGAATGTTGGCAGTGGGGAGCCTGAGCAGGTGTGGGGGCAGGGGGATAAGTGAAATCTGTACTTTATGCTCAATTTTGCTATTAATCTAAAACTATCTTAAAAAAGACAGAAAATCTGCTGCAAATTCCACTATCTTTGAGAGAGAAAGAAGTTATTAAACCACCTTGGCAAACTGAAACTACATGATTAAAATGAAAATGACAGCAAGAAGTCACACTGGCAAAGTTAAAATGTCAACTATCTAAACAGAAGGAATATACTGGTATAAGACTTCTTAAAGTTTCTCAGATGATCATAAACAAGGAGAGTATACAAATTTCCTAGATCAGTCCAGACAACATTAAGAGCTAAGCCAAATATCTAAAGCAAAATATCAAAGCTATATATCCATAAACAAAAAGCAGCATCGCAAATGCAGAAATGTTATAAAAGTATAAATTCTGTAAATAAACATGAGTTAAAAGCTGCCATTAAAAAAAAACCAGCATTCCAGATGATTGTCAAAATCTTATTGAAATATATTTTTGCTCTAAGCACCAGCATTCAAGGTCACTAACTGATAGACCAATTGGGCTTCCTTCTCTTTCTTGCCCTGAAATTAGACTCCTAACCCAAGCAACTTGTATTAAAATGTCATGCAGTTTGGTCAAAAGGGATAAAAGAGAGGAGACTGTTCTCAGTGGAAATCCTTCACCGCTCCTTGAACACTCTACTCCTGCACCACGGATAAGCAGATAGTTTTCCTACACAAAATGTCAGCTACCTGAACACAAGCACATGGTCCTCGTGCAGATGTAGCTATCAGATAGATATACAAAACTGCTACCTAAACTAACCGGAATCTATCATTCTGTTCTTTACTTCCTAGTTCATGTTTACAAGTTATGCTACCTTGGGTTGATTTTAAGTATCTAAAAACTGAACTGGTTGGATATCGATAAAATTCCAGAACAAATCTCCTCCCACACTCTGGCTGTGTTGGGTATGGAGTAGTGTTAGAAATCTGCTTACTTTTCTGAGAATGTCTTTCAGCTGCAGATGATCGGGAAGCAGTCTGCCCGAATACACCAATCTCTGATCCTTCGTCAACTAAGAAATGGGACAAAGAAAAGAATTCAACTTTTTCTAATTATACAAAATAAATGCTGGGAATAACATGCCTAAATATGGGTAAACTCCTTTTAGGCACAAATAAGCAGAAAACTGACATATTTTAAGAATTCTGTTTTTCAAAATTCCACTTAAGACATTAAGAATTCAGCAAATGGTAGCATATTTATTGTAGACAGAATAAAATACACGTAATTACCAAGTTTGTTAATGACATTAACAAACAAAATATGCCATTAGCAAAGTTACTTATATGCTTTATCCTACTATACACAATTTCAAAATAGGAACAAAATTGGGTGAAGTTTATGATTTCTTGTGGCTTTCTTCTGTCCTTACATATATCCCACTAGAAATACTGTGTTTCAAAATTACTTGGGATAATTCCTCTCCCAGTTATGTCACCATCCTGACATTAAATTATTGTGTTGCCATTGAGGGATTACATTTTGTTATTTACTTTTTTAAAATTATATGGCAAAAGAGTAAAAATTATAGAATGAGGTACACTGAAAAAGGTTTTGTTTCTGCCCACTCCCTAATTTTGAATTACCCTTCCACCATTTCTTTTTAACAGAACAACAAATCCAAATATAAGCAAGCATTTCCCTTATTTTCTCACATAAAAAGTAGTACACTCTACCTAATCTTATGTGCCCCGTCCTCTCACTAATATACCCTGGAGATTACGCCTTAGCAGTATTAGGATGTCGTCCCCATTCTTTTTGATAGGTGTGTAATGCTTCATCATATAGAAGTGCTACTGTTTACTAATGGGTATTTGAGTATTTCCAAGCTTTTGTTATTATTCAGTGTCCTTCTTTCATCCTGTCCTATTTATTATTTATTTTTGTACTCCCTCAGAGTATCGTGCAACATGGAAATCCCTAGTGGTCTTGTTAAAAGCAATCTTGGTGGACAGTAGGGTAAAAATTGAATTGGGATGAATATTAGAGAAAAGGAGAGTACAGTAAGAGACATCTTTTAAAAATGTAAATCAACCCTGTCACTATGATGGATTCCCACCACATTGGATTTAAACCTAATTCCTTACCATCACCAGTCAGTCCCAGCAGATCTGGTTTCTGTTTCTCTCCAGCCTCCTCTGATGGTATCCTTTCCACCTCACTTACTAGCCATACTGGCATTCACTTAGATCTCCAATATGCCAAGCTCGTTCCCAACTCAAGACACCCTACCTGCATATTCTCTCCCAGTTCTTTCATGGCTAGCTAAATTACCAAGCTGGAAACACCTTGATGGGACTCTGAGTAGCCTAGAGACAGACCCACACCACCCCTAAAAAACAGCTGCTTAACCAGCTGACCCAAAAAACTCTGCTACCCACTAAACAGACACTGCTAAAAAGCAAGGTGAGGAAAGCTCACTGGCTAATACAATATGCAAAATTCAATCATAAACTGTGGAAGATTTTTCTCTTTCTACAAGGTTTACATATATTATCTAAAGTATCTGACTTTTCAACATTTAATCAGATATCAAAACCAGCTAAAATACTATATGCAACCCTAAATCATGTTAAATATTCCCAAGAGTCTGGTAGTTGAGTTTTACAAAGCCAGCAACACTTTTTATTTCTAAAACTCCCCTAGTTGGTATCAAAAGATTACACTTTTTTATGTGAAGGACTAAATGGGTCTCTCATAATTATGTATAGCTTAAAAAATCATGTTCTTAATATATCCAACTTCAACATAACCAAGTAGCTCAGTAAAAGCAATCTACAACTTATATGTTAATTCAAAGCACTATGACCCAAGTCCCTTGAAAGTAGTAACTACTAACATTTCAGACTTGCATACAGCTTTAAAGAGCTGTTCCCAAGACATGCACAAAACATCATTTCTGTGGGAAATGAATTCTGTGGATTTGTACTGGAACACATCTTGCACTCCCACTAAACTCAACCCACCTAAAGCCCCAGGAAATTCAGAAACACTATAAATGGAAGCAGCTTATCCAAACTGTCTCTACCCCTTATCTCCTTGCAACAACTGTAAGCAAAACCAGCACACAGAGCTCAAAGAAGAATTTCCTCTAGAGCTCCAAAGGGACATTCCCTGCTTAGCTGTTTCCTCACAGGCCATTCACAAAGCAAGTATTCGTACAACAGAGAATGCCAGAATACACTGCCTGCTATGGCTCACACAGGCCAGCAGGGATGTGAGAAGACAGGGCAAGGCAAAGCACGTTGCGGTCTTAAGATAGTAAGTTCCCATATCTTCCCCATAATTTATCAAAATAAGCAGAAGTAACTGTACACTAAGTTGATATGTATTAGAACAGTATTAAGGCTGTGTTATCCACTCTTTTGCAGCTGTTAGATGACAAACCATCTAAACACATAGACCTCTTTTTATAGTTCTTTTAATTTGAGAGAATATGACTGAGATGGTGAAGTCTCAAAAGGCCTTTCTTAATCTTATTACACACAACCATCATATATAATGTGAGTTTAATGGTTAAGTGCTGAGGCTTGCAAGTCAGACAAACTTGGGTTCAAATTCAAATTCTACTACGTAGAATTCTATGAACTTGGGCAGGGGAAAAAAGCTAATAAAACTTAACATCATGAGGTGTGATGAGGAATGAAATGTGATAAAACATTTATAAAATTTAAATAAAAAATAAGCAGAATGCCTGGTACACATGGTAACCACTTAGTAAATGGCAGTTAAAGTAGTTAAATAATAGTTAACTATTACTTAGTAATATAACTATAATAGTTATATACAAACATGCCTATCAATTTAGTATTTATGATGTAAAGGAGAAAAACATAAAAGAGAAGTTCTGGGAAAGCCCTATTTTAAAAAGCACTGATGCATGACTAAACAAACTTCAAAGTACTGTTATTTTCCCAAAAGACATTAGAAAAAGGCTACAAAGGGGTTAAATATAACAAATTTTAACCCACATTCATTCAAAACTTTTAACTTTTCATCAGTCTTCACACTCAATTTAATATCCTTTGTTCAAGAAGTTTTAAAATTTTGAACTATCCTGCTACATGACATGAAACCCTCCTAATTAATGTACTAAAATTTTATGACAATAGTCTAATAAAAAATTTTTTTTACGTGTATGGATTACAGCCCCTTTAAATCAACAGTTCAGAAGTGGTTAAGCAGATAGGGTTTTTAAATGACCTGCCTAAATAAAATAATAGGGAATTACAAGAGACAAAACCTCAAATTATATTACACAAGCTATTTTCACTGGTAATGAAAGTCAGGCAATTTGATTTTGAAATGTTGTATTTTCAGAATAGAACTTATACAACTGCTTCTATTCCTGTTTCTTCATTTCTAACAGAATCTCAGAGCAAAGGAACAATTTGAAAACACAGCACAAACCTCCCTAGCTTAACAGGAGTATAGAAGACCTAAGTAATGAAATTGATTGCTTTCACTTAACAGTATGATGCGCCAAGACACAGGAAATCTACCCTGAACTGAGGGACATGTTGAGTGTCTGTATCCCCCCACTAGACCTGAGCTTCGTAAGAGCAAAGGACTCTTACTATCACCTTCATGCTTGGCATATAGACATTCAAATGCCAGGTCAATGAAATCCCAATTAAATAAATAAATGAAGCTCAAGAAAGTGTGCTTGGGTGGGGGGGGGGAGTAGTATATTTATTGTGGGTTTAGTGAGGCAAGGGGATTGAACTTAAATCCATGTGGAGACTACCTGTGATTAAGTCAAGTCAATATATGACCTTAAAATTAGAATCTAAAGATTTTACACACTGTTGCTGAATCCTGTTAATAGCATGTAGACACGTGGCCTATCCTTATAGAGATCCTAAAAGGACAATTTCAAATCTCTATTTTTCTCTCCAGCAGCTTTCATTTATTTTCCTAGTAGCCACTGCCCACAGGGACCAAGGAGTCTCCACCTACTAGCGACCCATCAGACCCAGTTAAGAGCAGTGTTGACCAGAGCCGTCAACTTCTCTACTTCTTACTGGGAGACAAGTGCTTCTACCAAGTACTGGAACCCTACTCTGCCTCCAAGTCCACCCACTCTGCGCCAGGCAGATGTGCAAGGAACAAGGCATGAGAAATTATCTCTGTTAAATACCAACACAGCACTTGAGATACTCAAACACAGAATTAATGGTAAGTAGTCACTGTGGGTGGTCCTGAGAACCTAAACTTCCTGTGTAATGTATTATGTTAGTCATGTAACATTGCTTACATTGCAAAACTACCTATGGCTTTGGGGTATCATTAAACAGTAGGTCTGTTTAACAACTGTGATACTTCAAATTCTCCTGTGATAAGTTAGAATGTAAGCCTGTCAAATCTAATCACCATACAAAGTTTTCAGTGAAGTTCTATGAAAATAAACACAGGTGCCCCACCCCCAGGTCCCCTCACTCCTATTAACCTAGAAATAACCTTCAGATTTTGCAATTCACTAGAAGACTTGCTGGAGAAGGGAAAATGTCAGGTTTGCCATAGTTAGGTAATTACTAGGCTGCATATTACTTGTACAGCCTCAAAAAGCATTTCTAGTGTGTCCAAGCTGCAGGCAGGTAAGGAAGGTGGGGTGTAAAGAAGTTGGCAACAGCTCAGTCTCCAGCAGCTGACTGGCCCACATGAGCAAGGACAGCCCTGCACTGTAAGGTTAGCACTGCAAGGGGTGGTGCAGGAATGGCAGACCGGCTTCTCACTCCTCTTAGAAAATTTTTACAAAAAGAAGACAGTTTTAGAAAAGTGAGAACTATTGGTCTATCATAGTGCAAACCAAGTCCCTTTTTTGGTGTAATACTAAAATACAAAGATCCTCACATGAATACATCCTTGAGCATATACACTGGGACGTAGTACTATGTAAGTCTATGCCTTAAATTCTGACTGTTCTGACCGAAAAGCTATTTTCCACTTCAAAATGTGCACAACAAACCATATGCAATAAGAAATCTTTTGTAAAGCAGAAATTTTTAAAACAAATTCTTATCCCGTGTAAACTTTTTCAAACAAAAGATATGAATAAACTAGAGTTCCAGCTAGTTTATTCCAAGTACTCAAATACCTCAGGGTTTTTATTTCCTTTACTAAAAATATTTGTATCACAAGGTGCTGACAGCTAATGCCAACTAAGAATTGTTTTTCTAAACCTCCTATTTTTGCAAAAGCCACAATATTTCTGTAATTATTCTAGAAATCTAAACTGACTATGATAACCTGAAACAGTCCTAATTTATCAGTATCTGAATGTAGATCAAATGCCTTCTTTACTTATCGAGCCTTCTTAATTATCAACTATGTCCTTTTACACCTACCTCTGAGGACAGATGGAGCTGTACTCTTCGTATTTTATTGATTATCTTTGCAATACCCAGATATAATTCAGAATGGAAAACACTGCCACACTGATTTACAAATGGCCATATGAAAGGAATAAAAAAGATGTACCAAATGGTGGAGGTAGAGAGGGAGTTGAAGGGCTGTTGTCTTCTAAATTAATGAAATTTCTGTGTCCAGTACAGGAGAAAAATGAGGGAGGGGAGGGGCAGAGGAATGTGACTCTAAAACTCGTAACTCTTTGCTTCTTAGAACACATATACTAGCCTTGAAAGTGTAATTTTTATAGGGGCACACACTTATTTCCAAGGAAAAAAATTGCTCTTCAACAGTGAACAACTTTCTGGGCCAGGCGCTGAAAGTAAAACGGAATTTTAGTCTAAAAAGCAAAAAAAGCTTTAATATGAATTGAAGTGTTTCTTTATCTTTTTTTTTCTTAAGGATGCATATGTCATCCCATATTAGGTTGATGATTTTAAGTCCACGGAAAAAATGGTCCTTTTTTTTATGCCTACCAATTCTTATGTCCCTTGATATTTCTGTATACTCTTATTAACTGAACCTCATCAGGAAGATATTCATGATGCCTCAGACACTCAAGAGACACATTCAACTCGGAACTCAAATTCTTCGCAGTCTACCAAAAGAGGCCTATTTGATTCAAGAGGGGAGGGGTGAGCCAGGGGAAGGTGAGTCCAGGGCAAGACAGGCTGCGGGCCAGGGCAGGACAGGCTGCGGGCCAGGGCAGCTGCGCCCAGCTTTTAGACACTTACTGGTTTGCTAGGGTACACGTTAGACAGATGCGTTTTTAGTTTCCCCACGGTCCAGTTCAAGAAGCAGCTAATAGTCTGGTCACTGTATTTCTGATTCGGTGCTTTAATGATGAGGGTCACAGGAATCTCCATCCCACTTTGGTCCATGGTGCCCCCCAAAGCCGAAAAGAGTCAGGAGGAGCAGCAGTTAAGAGCCCAACGGAGACTAGGTGGTTCCTCCCGGCGCGACTGGAATGGGGACGGAAGCTAGCGGGTTAATATTTCGCGTCCAATTCAGTCACCAGTGCCTCGGGCGATACAAAGGCCATTGCCGGTACGAAGGATGATGGACGGTGGCGGCGGCGGGGTCTGGGGGCCCGGCCGCGGGTGCAGCGTTCCCCGCCAGGTCCGGGCTCCGCTAGGCTCCACCGGACTCGGGACTACGGAGGGGGCCGGGGGGAGAGAGAGAAATCGGTAAGAAGGGAGAGGTGGGGGCGCCACGCCCGG